TGTTTCTTCAGTAGAACACAAACGAAGATTTTTAACTCAAACCGTTGCAGTCTGTCAGTCATATAATGGAGGTGGATGGGAATCACGGCTTTGAGAGTCAAAAAAACATACACAAACAAAACCAAATTAAACCCTGCGGCTCGTGACGATATATTGATGTGTAAAGACACGAAACGATCGGTCTGTGCAAGAAACTGAACAGTATTTATATCGTTTTTTACCTCTGATTTGCTGCAATGTCCGAACTGTCCTGAGCGCATCTTGAGCGCGTTCGCGTCTTCTTCTTCAGCCGGCGCATGATGCGTCGTCTTCTTCTTGCTTTATGGTGGATCGCAGACTTAAAAGTGCATTACCACCACCTATCTCTCAAATGGACCACTGACACTCATAGAGTGTTCAGTTTCTTGCACGGACCGATTGTTTCGTGATAAAATGAATTAAAATGTTTCAGCCTATTGTGGACAAATCTAACGGCTTGAAATATGTTACATTCATAGTTTAACTGGGATAACAATGAGGTCACTTTTATTTACAATGGACATTGTGTTTAGTCACACCCCTTACCAGTGATAAATGTTATTTTCATAGCAAATGAAACTGACCAATTTACCACACAAAAACCTACACATCACATCCACAGCAACTGACTGACAAGACATCCTTTGTTGGCATAGAGATTGCAAATGAGAGCAGGACTGCAATTTCGTTTGAGGTTTGGCAAGAGGGAACGTGACAATGAGGAAATGAAATTGCAATCGGAGCCACTGCTATTGCTGTTTCAATATGGCTGGGCCATTCCTGCATGAATGTTGAAAATGAAATGTCAAATGGACTTTGCTTTTCCATTTGAAATTTGGCAGATGTTGCAAATTATGTGTGCACAAACAGAATACGCAATTGCAAGTACAATGTTACCCAGAATATGATACTGTAGTCCCTCAGACTGAATGGGAAAGTGAAATCAGGATTCACATCCCACATACACACACTCACGAATGTTCATTATATCTGCACTGCAGCAGTGCCGCCCCGCCTTACACATAAATCTGCTTGAAATTGAGTTTATTGATTGAATGTCCTTTTGCTATTTTCTTCGCCACATGATCAGAATACAAGCATGCATAAACTCTACTGTTGCGATCCACAACCTTAGCACAAGTGTGCTGTAGTTATAACTGTAAATGCACACACTGACATCAGTGATTGTGCTATAAAGACAGTGAAATTGCTTGGCCTTTGGCATATTATTGTATGCAGTTATGACAGGACAAAAAGTCAGGTTTGATAACAAACACTTTTTACTGAAATGGAAAAGTCTTTTTCACAACAAAATGTCCTTAATGCACAACAACTCTTCTTAATATCCCACAGGCTTGATTGCAATTCGTTCAGCCCTGCAAGCTAGGAGAGACTGCAGTCCACCATCAGCATTCTCTGATTCCCCATAGGCCTGAAATTTAATTATTTTCAATTGCAGAACCTGCCAGCAGTTTTTCTACCAGGTGGGTTTTGTACACAAAGAACCAACACAAAAAGCTTGTCAGCCACACTATAACTCTATTTGACCAATTCTTTCCTTAGATTAATATAAAGCTAACTAATTTTTCACCAAATGTTTGATAACAATGTTTAATTTAGCTGGAAATGTACTATTCTTTTTCTTAAAGGTGTTCTGAGAAAGCATTTGGCTGCAAGAATAGTGTGTTTTCTGGGGTTCTACATCATGCTGATAGTGAAGGAGAATTATGTAAATATTTAACAATTAATCAAGGATAGGTACAATGTGCACTGCACTTACATGATCCTATTACATTTTTGGGTGGTGAAAGTTAGTAGACAGAACATAATGTTTAGAAATGTCTGCAATAAAGGCAACCAGCATCTGATAATGAGTCATAATAGGTTAACACTTTTTATAATAACTTTCATTTCCTTTTTCATCAAATTGCATTATATTTTCAAATAGTTAGGAGATAGATAGATAGATAGATAGATATGAAAGTTATTATAAATTGTTACCTATAATAGCTAATTAATTTATCTAATTTAGGTCTAGCCTTTTGTACAATAACTAAAAATTGAATTTTTCCTGATAACCGTATTTTGATTACTTTGGGGTAAATGTACAGTTTTTATAGATACATATATCAGGCACAATCCCCACTTTGCATTTGAGGTGTTTAGTTTGATATCAGTACAAAGAAAATCCTTTAAAGCTCTCTTTGCATTTAGGACCAAAGTATCCTATAGTTAGCCTTCAAGTAAATCAGAGTGTCCAAGTTTTTTGGCAGAAGTCGGCATTGCTCTGGTCTGAGCGTCTTGCTAACAAGGTTAAATATCTGGTCCACTGATGTAGTTGTTGCTGGCACAGTAAAAACTTTTTTGGCTACTTGTGAGAGCAGGGGGAAATCGATGGACTTGCGTTTCCAGTATTGTAGTGGATCCTCATCTGTGGGTTCTTCGTGGAGATATGTGGACAGCTCCTGCTCCACAGTCTTGGCCTGGGCGGTCGGCCTCTGCTTAATGAAAGAGAACAGCTTGCAGCGTTTGGACTGCGATGGCTGGGCCTCTGAGTGATGTTCTAGTGGACTCAAAGGCCGAGTATGCTTTCCAACCTCTTCCAGCATCACCTGTTTGTGCCAGTCGCTGTCACTGCTCCAGGACAGCTTGAACTGTGGGTCCAGGGTGGTGGCTGTTACATAAAGAGGGTCCTCAAGAATGCCTGCCAGTCTGCGGTTCAGAGCTTGAGACAATCCCATCACGATCCCAGAGCACTGGTGAGTTACGACCTCAGCCAGATGCTTGCGCAGACCTAGCACACAGGGCAGGGCTAGGCTGATGGACACGTGCTTGTCTCCTTGGACCATGTCTGAGGCCTCCTCAAAAGGCTCCAACACCTCAACCAGCTCCTGCAGCACTGCTTTTTCTAAGTTACCGAGGACTAGGTCATTTATATCCACAATGTCCTCAAGAAAATCCATTGACTCCACCATTTGCCGCAATATTTTTAACTGAGCATTCCACTTGTCTGTGGATGAGGGCCAATTTGTTGAGGTACTGGAGCCGAACACTTGGACAAGTTTTTCAGGAGCCACTGTAGCAATTATGTAGTTATACAGGTGGGCTGCTTTGTTTAGAGGAACTGATATCTGAGGGGAAGCGCAAACTCCTTCCTTCACACACTGAGCTAGTAATCGAGCAAAGCAGTCTATCCTACTTCGACCAAGACACTGATCTAAAGACTTGCAGTTCTCGTTGCTACTAATGGCTTCTTTGGCTTCTCCTGCACTAGACTCTTCATCGCTACCATCTTCTTCACCATGTCCAATTAGATTGAACCCAGGAAGACGAAAAGCAGATCTGTTTTCACAGGGTGACAAGTCTGCGACGACTCTGAACACTTTGCCAGCCATGCCATGGGACTCGGAGATCTCATCAAACTCGCTGAGCATTTGCTGTGTGTTGCTGTGGTCTGGAAGAGGTAAGCATGCCAAAAGAGTGGATCTGATGTGCCAGTCTGCGTTTATGAAATGGCATGTCACTCCAAGAAACCCAGCACCACTGTTGTTACCTGCAGAGCTGCTTCTCCACAGGTCAAGGGTCACACTGCAGGACTCGGCTCCTTTTAGAGCCTGTTTGGCAGCTAGTTGCACTTGGGAGACATAGGCTGGCAGGAGCTGCTGTTGTATATAATGGCATGGTACCGGAATGTAACGGGGCTCCAGCAGCTGAAGAAGCTCACGGAAACCCTCATATTCCACTATTTGTGCCGGTTGCAGGTCTCGGATGATCATCTTGGCAATAGCTTCTGAAATTAGGGATTGGCGAGGGTCACTGTAGTCAAACTTGTTCATCCCAGCACCGCTTTGAGAGATCACTCGACCACTTGGAGGGCCAGTACACATCTGCATTGCTTCCCTTTTCACATCTTTCTTCCTCACAAACTCATCATACATGGCCTGATGTTTGCGCTGTGAATGTGACATAATTATATACAGGTGAAATACATATAGAACACAATATACATAATCATGTAAACATATAATATATCTAAAAACACACAAAGAACATAATATTAAAGGCTCTCACACTTTCTGACTATTGAACTTTTATGATATTTCCAGTCATTTGTGTATCATAAACCGACTTGAAAGAAATTGCACTAACACAGCACATTTTATTTAAAAAAATTGTATTATTAATTTCTATAACTATTGACCAGGAAATTAAAATTTTAATTGATATTTTAAATTTCCATGACCCTGAATAGTGGCAACGCATATATTGGTTAAAACTCTCATATTTGCCATGTTATTAGATGCAAAACACTGTTACATAAAAAAAATGAACCCGTACCTTTAAATGTGTAACAAAGTTAGAAGTAACTGTCCGTTTAGCTTGAATCCTTGTGCCACAAGCTTTGCAGTTTGATTCAATTTTGCCATTTTCTCCCTCACAGACGATATTGAAGTAATCCAGAATGGAGACCCTAGATTTTGACGCCATCAGTGATCTTAAATCTTCCACGATATGAGCATCAATACAGTAAGAATAGCACTTAAAAACGAGAACAATGTGATATCCTCTTTTGTTTTGATCAAATATTAGTCTAGCTTTTGAGAATCAATGATAATAGCCTCGTCTCAGCATAGAGATAACAGGATAGTAATCTGACCGAAATAGCGTGTTCACCTGGGCTGACATTGATCGCATCGTCCTGTCATTGTGAAAATATCTTCTCGGTTACACGTCTCTGTAAAAACATAAAAACAGACGTCCGTCAAATCTGCGTGAGCGAGCAAACGGTGTCGGTTCCGACCGTAAACATTGCTATCCGCTAGCAGCTCTTTTCCGACGAACACCAGGAAGTAGACGGCGAATGGGGAATATATATATTTATTTATTTACCATTCCGCCTCTGTTTGAATGTTTTGATTTTATTCGTGAACAAGCACCTACAACTTGATACAAGGCTAATGAAGTGACCACAACAAAGATCGTGATGTATTTCTCGTTTTGTAAGTTAATTTCATGCAGTGATTAAATGTAATCTAATAGCTCGAACAGACAAGAAGAGGCGCACCTGATACCTACTGCTCTTGCACGTTTAACACTTGAAATGTTTTCTGAGGTTTCAGCAGGAATTTTTGATAACGTCAAGAAAAAGTTACATTTAACATGATTACTTAAGTATTGCTTGGATTCGAGAAACCATCTTCTTCCAGGTAAGCGTATGTAGATTGATATTTAATCAAACAGAAAAACCTATGAACTTGCCATCTCTCACAATTCCGTTGTTCAGTTTAAAATGGGAAAGAATAGGCATTTAGCCATGCATTTTAAGGATCTGACAGATGATTCAGCCACACAGAAACGGCGAGAACATTGCCATTTTATAGCCGTTTTATTTACTAATACAGATTACTATGTAGATTTCGATGAAATTCACTGTTACAGAATTTTAACTGAACCAACACTAAAATGACTTGATCTGAACAGACACTGTTGTCTTTTAGAGCTGATTCACAGCAGAAAACGAACTCTCTCCTTAGTTGAGTTTCCATAATTGATTCTGCTATGCTATTTTCCCCATTACTGTGAAGCTGCTTAGACACAATCTGTATTGTCAAAAGCACTATACAAAAAAAAAAACGTGACTTGACATGAAATATCTGATAACTAATGATTGCAGGAGTATTTACATTTAAAAGGACAAAATTATGTTCAACCACATAGTTCTCAAAAACTAACGTACTGAAAATGAATCTAATTGTTGTAGTACTTTAATACGTTTAGGACTATCCTGAATTTAACTGCATTACTGCTCAAAAACGATAATATGGTTAATCAAAGATATTTTTATTAGGAAAACAACTTTGTTCATATAATTAAAGTGTTTTCAGTGATCTCTTGACATGTCAAACATTTGATATTATTCAATACAGTAAAATTGAGCTAAGGACTATGGGTCCATTTGGTTCATACAAAATTTCAACAAATAAAGATTATAGATGAAAGTAAATAAGATCACAGGTATTCTTTTTTCATTTCTGGTTGAGTCTTCTCTGTCTTCTGTTGCTTTTCCTTCATCTGTGCCTGCATTTCTTTTCTTGTAGCAAGTATTGCACTTTGTAGAGATGCAATTTCTGCTGAGAGAGTGATGACTGGGGGGAAGAAAATGTGTTACAAAAAGTGTTAACCGTTAAATAAACCCAGACTACAAGAAACAGTATTACCATAAAACAAAAATGTTGAAATAATTCTTCAAATATACGCCACACAGCAAATGTGCAGCAAAGCACATCACATCGGTAATCTACAGAGGGCTAGAATTAAATATAGCATAAGCAAACAATATTTATAAAAGACAAAAGAGCTCACCCTCTTTAAAAGCAGACTGGGCTTGTTTCAGATTTTGTGGTACAAGGATTCCAAACCACTTCAAAGGATCCCTCTGCTCAGGTGTGGATGATTCTGCCTTTGTTTTTACTTGAGGGTCTGTCTCCTGTTCCTCCTCTTTAACCCCCTTTTGTATGGCATTTATTCGCCTTCTAAGACCTGAAACTTTCAATAATGTTGTCATGAACAAAAAAATCATACAAATACAGCTTAAGGCCCCTACATGTGTAATATTAGATAAGTAAACAACAAGCAACACTTTGGAAAGACTTGACTTAAATCAAAACATAATAGAGTAATTTAAATGTCAGTAAATCTGACATACCGGTCTCTTTCGCTCCAATGTCTTCTATCGTGTCACTTTTCAATTCTTCTGTTTTATTCTCTTTTCTCTCACATTTGAGCTCAGCTGTTCCACCTTCCAGCACACTGTTGTTAAGGCAAGCACATTGATCTATGTAAATGATTAAGACTTCTACACAATCAAATGTTATTTAATTGCATGTGATGATACGAACCTGGTTTCAACATAAACAAGCGGCTCCATCTCGCTAGCGTACTGCAGAGCGGAGACTTGCTTGTTTCCCATTGAATAACGTGCTTTGGCAATTGAAAACCATCCCTGTGTTAAGAGAATAAATCTAATTATATTAAGAATACAAATTAAAATATTTCGCGTGCAATACGTAATTATGGACAAGTTGGATTCCATTCCCAATATGAATATGTGCTCAAACTAATCAAGTGTAACTGCACGTTTCACCTCCTCTATAAGAGAATTAAGTTTATGTCGTTTCTCCTCCAGAGCCTCGAGCTGGTCCATGAAAAGCAGCAACTGCTCGTCCAAACGAAGCTGTTGATCAACACGCATTTCTGTCGTTTTATCTGGCTAAACAGAACCGAACAATAATAAACAGTAATAAACTAAATGAAGAATGAAAAGATAAGTATTCCTGTAGAACGCTTTCCGAGTGATTACAAGAACCTTTACCGGTCACGTGACAAGAAGTCACATGCCATCGCTGTTGGGTGGAGATTGCGTAGTTTAGATTGCCTGGTTTCTCCCAAGGTTTTTTCTCCATTCTGTCACCGATGGAGTTTTGGTTCCTTGCCGCTGTCGCCTCTGGCTTGCTTAGTTGGGGACACTTCATTTCCAGCGATACCGTTGACTTGATTGCAAAGATACTATTTAAACTGAGCTGGATGTTGACATCACTGAATTCAATGAT